CAATTAATTAATCGTTTCATCTTTTGGATAAAACTTTATATTGTAAGTGGTATTTGAAATGTTTTAACTACGTTAAGGCAGTATTAAATTTTTGTGACCATTTCAGCATTTTATTGTAAATATATACAGTATATACAGTACAATAAATAAACTCTAGTATAATGAATAAGTAATGTAACAAATAAATTATTTATATGTTTCAAGGTCTGGGCTCACACTGTGTTTTAAAATCATAAGTTTTATTTTAAATAAGTTAATCACCTCATAGTTAATTTATATGCAAAAAATGAGTAAGGCGTTGTTCACATATTACGTTCGCACTTGAGGGGAGGGGGGGTTAGCCAAAGCGAACTTTTGCGAACGAGGGGGAGGGGAGGGGTAGAGACTTTAAGAACGTTCGCATTTAGATAATATCTTATTTCTTGTGATGGGGGGGGGGGGGGGGTAGCGGTTAGGGATAAGCGAACGTAATTTTTTTAAATGACTACACGCGAACAATTGCGAACATAGGGGAGGGAGGGGGTCTAGATTTCTTAAAAAGTGCGAACGTAATATGTGAACCACGCCTAAATCATTCACACAATATTTAATAAATGCTTTCTTATTTTAGATTTATCAGAAAATTGAAAATTAACTATCGATTATATTAAACACTTTATATCAAGTATTTTAATCAATTTTAATGAAATTTATTAGACAATTTTAAAATATTTGTAAATGTATTAAAATTTTAAATAGATAATAGTGAATATAATAGATATATTTTTTTTAAAAAAGCAATAAAATACATAATTTTCTAGTTTTATTCAATTATCAGATAAATTTTAATTCTATAAATCAAGTTATCTTAAGTTATATTTGTCTATTGCTATAGTTAGCAGATATCACTTATTATTTATACAATAAAAATTACTTTAATTATTTTATAGCAAAATATTATTTATTTAATAGAAAAAAAACAAAATTTATTAAAATAATTTCTAATGTATTTTTATTTTAATAATTTTTGTAATACTTATTTTCTGTGCATTACATAAATAATTTTAATTAATATTATAGTGTGTTAACTGTTCGTACTTGAGTTTAAACATTTTTGTTGAATGACTGTATTATATACTGTAAAATGATATATAGATGTCTGGGCTGTTAATTGTGACAAATATTAATTTATTACATTTGAGTGTTTTATTAATTACATTACTACACATGGTTTGGTAGACAAATTTAATGGTCATACTTTATTTATAAGTGATTAGTGAACACTTGAGTAAATTAATTATTTAAATAATTTATTAGACTAAAAGAGTCATTAGATTTTTTATTACAATTATATATATAAATACTCAATTTAAAATATTAAATAATTAATTTTAAAAATTACAATACTTACAATATTAAATTAGAATTTTTAAATACTTACAATAGCTTACAAAATATTAAAATAATTTAACTGAACTTTATTTAGTAATTATAGGTAATCTTAAAGCTTTAAACAATGTATTAATATTTTTTAGAATAATTTAATAAAATTAATATTGAAACAAAACAAATAATTATTATCTATTATATTACATTATTGTGCAATTTTACAGTAGTTTTATTGTATTATTTTTTTTGCACTAATCAATCAATAATCACTCAACAAATAAGTATGTAAGCTGTATAAAGGAAAATATTTAAAAAGTTGATTTCAATTAACCTTTTTTCAAATAAAAGTTTGATGACACTAACGCTTATCTGCTAATTGATCTCATTTTCAAACATATACTGTATATACCCTCTCTTTTCTCACTTGATATGACATATGCAGTAATTCCTTAAGTACTTTATTTTACTAAATACTTACTAAAAGTATTATATAAAATATTATATAAAATATTAGTTTTTATATCAGCGCTATTTAATATTGTATGAAAAAATACTACAGTATATCGTATATACATATATACTGTATATATTATTATGTAAAACTAAGTTATCTCGTATGTATAAGTTGTCTGGTGTTTAGTGATAAATTGTATGCATAGTATATTACACTCAAATATATAATTTATATATTAATAAATAAATGTTCATGGTGAGTTTGGTGCTATTGACAGAAAAAATTATGGCTCAAGAGCTGTCATAATACGAGCCCTTTTGGCTCAAGTATACTATATAATAAACTGTAGTGAATTAAAGTTATTATAATTTTTTATATGCTATATTGGTTATATGACTACAGTATATACAGTATATTATAAATTATATATACTGTTATATACTTGTCTAATATATACATATATATTATATCATTGTATAAAATACGATAGCATTTTGTCGTATCCTTGGAGTTGTAATGTTATGTAATTCTCTACTCAATACACAGTATCTTAACTTTGAGTGTAAATGAATATCATTTGAGAAATCATATAAAAAGAAAGAGACTTATAGTCCCGATATCAAGGGTTCAACACATGTGTGACTAAATTCACGTTTACTTTAAATCAATCTTTTTTTGTAATCAAATAATATTTTATTTTACAATATTCTGGTGTTTCTCTCATATGAGTTGATAGTCTTGACTATACGTGTGTATTGTGTGTTATATAATCTAATAGCAAATTAGATTATAACTACTTGTATTGTATAAATCATTACATAATTTAAAAATAACTCTTAATAATAATATATTTAATGCATTCAAGAAATAATTTTTATAAAATGAATTTATGATTATTTATATATTCGACACAACAATACCTGAAGTCATAAAAATAATATTATTAATGATAATATCGACATTAATTGAAAAAATAATGAACAACTTGTTCAGCATTGATGGCTATGAGTCGCCCATCAAGAAACAAATGGCACAGGCATTCCGTGGCTGCCGGTGCGCTGCCGTACTCTTGATACTGACCCTACTGTTCCTTATTGGCGGTACTTTATTAACATTACTGCCGGCAAACGATACGCATAATAGTTCACATCGACAACAGTCTGACTCTAGTCAAACACCGTTTCAAACACTGGGACTCGTATTGTTAATACTCGGCTGTATCTGTGCTGCGGCTGAAGTAGTTTTGGTGGTCGTGACGATTGTCTTTCTCAAAAATGTCCGAACTTACAGCACAAACGATATACTTAACTGCGCCGACACTCATCTTATTCAAGCGGCTCTTGCTTTCAATAATAATAATAATAATAATATAAATATTAATAATAATAATAATAACAGTAATAACAGCTATAAAGATGTTGACTTTGGTTTACTTCAGTATTCATGTGAAAATCAAATTATGGACACAAAAAACATTCAGACCATCAATGAGACGCCTCAAGAGTACCCATAGTGACAGATCCCGACTCTGGATGTGCGCACAGATTGTCACAGATTGTGACCATTAAATTTGATACATATTTATATCGTGTTATATCAAACATAAATGAGTCAAAACATAATATGATATCCGTGTCTCTTATTTATTATTATTAGTGAAATTGTGACAAAAATAAAATACCAGACTAAACAATTGTGTAATATTCATATTTTATTCTCATTTTACTTTAATATTATTTTCATTATTATTATATTGTTATTTCTAATTAAATAAAAATAAACTTAATTTAATTTAAATTATAATCTAAATTATATCATTATTTTTTAAATAAAATTATTAATTTTACAATTTAATAATATTGTATTATAAATTTGCTAACATGTCTATTTAATTTTGCTTATAATTTATAATAATGTTGTACACCCGTATCAAAACAATTAAAATAAGATTATAGAGACTTTAAGTACTAAAATCTTAAAATATAATAAATATTCTCAATTTTGTTAGTACTGTTGCCAGGAAAGCATATATAAAGTTTTTTATATAAAATAAAAATACTTATCATAAATACAATTTTGACTTTTACCCCTTTAGATATAACATAATTTGATTATCAAGTGATCACTACTTTGTGTGTTGTTTTATTACAACCTAATTGACTAATCAGTTTGTGTTGCAATCGCACAAATTGATTAACTTAATTGTTATCACATTTTATTATCATTTGACTTGTATTAAGATTTATTTAGAATATAATTGATATACTGGTAATGTATTTAACAAAACATTTATGAATATAAGAGCTGAACTTATTTAACGTATTATTGATTATACATTATATACTATACCGGTATATACCCGGATCAACATTAAGTTTGTTAAGATATTGTTTTATTTTATAGATAATAAACTTATTAATTGTAAATTTCTATTTAATTTCAGCCAAAAGTGCTATTGAGGTCAATCTACTATAGATGTTATAGCTTGAAGTAAAATGTTTTTTAAAAATTATTAGTATTGTTAAAATATTTTAAACTTTACTTTTATGTACAAATATTTTTCATTATTTTAAATGTAATGTATAGATTTAAAAAAAATCTATTTATATTTTTGGTGATGTTGTACTCCATAAGCTTACATACAGAAGCACGTATTGTGATGTATTAATTAACTATAAATTAATTATCATTTCTAATAAATCATTATATCAAAAAATTATAACAAATCAATTCTTTTAAAGGTTAATCACTTAAAGACAAAAAATTTTAACAAAACTATTGAGTTGACACTATTATATTAAATTAGATTTTTAAAACTAAATTTTCCAAAATACTTCATCAGTAAAACATTGTGTAATAAATATTTAATAATAATAAATAAATAAAATTAAAGTAAAAAATATATAAAAATTCATAATATTGTTTTTAAAGTTTTATCGCATTATATGCATTAAAATGAATATTTTGGCAATACTTTTCTAAAATAGAAAATGAGAATTAAGATTTAAGATAAATTTTTATTTGCAAAAATTGCAATTTAATTAACTATGATATTACAGTATTAAAATATTAACGTTATTTTATAACTTGTATTTTGATAACTTATAAACAAATACAAAAATACAAAAAAAATACAATATCTTTAAATAGAAAATGAATTTCCAAAATGATTGTAATTAATCTCAAGGAAACAATAAGTTAGCAAAACATTTAAATTAAAAGCAAAAACACAAATAAGTTTTAACTGAATTTGTTGTTTAAATGGCAACTAAAGACAAGAATCGCGATGGTATGGATATTCTTCGTAGGCGTGGTTTCACAAAATTTGATCCGTTAGACTCTGGAGGTCAGGGAAACGTTTATAAGACGATGAAAGGCAAGACTGTGTACGCCGTCAAAGTGGTACACATCGATGACAAAGATCGCAACAATCATCAACTGGAGGAAGATCTCAAACGCGAATTGGCTATCATTAAGAATGTAAGACATGTAAACTGCATACGAGTAGAGGATCTGTTTCGTACACAACATAAGGTTTTCATTGTTATGGAGTTTATGCCCAACAAAAGTATTGGCGATGAAGTGGACACCAAAATGGCGCCACTTTGCGAATGGAAGTCAAAAGTATACTTCACTCAGATTGCCAGTGCCATCAACTATCTGCACCGACACAACATTGCGCACCGGGACCTCAAATTGGACAACGTATTACTCGATATCCACTATAACGCCAAAGTGTGTGACTTTGGCTTCAGTCGATTTGTGGTAAAAGACACGACTGGACGCATTCGGCGGAGCACATCCTATGTGGGAACGCCGTCATATGAGGCACCAGAAGTGCTTATGATGCGACCGTACGACCCATTCAAGTATGACGTGTGGTCTTTGGGTATCTGTTTGTTCATTATGTTAAACTACGACTACCCGTTCAATAGTGACGAAGACAATCAAAAAGTAATCGACAACCAAATGAAGCGCAAGTATCAGTTTAATGTCAATGTCAACAAAAAGCTCAGTCCATTGGCCAAAGATCTGGTGAAAAAACTACTGGAACCCAATTCGGATATTAGGATCTCCATAGACAATGTATGCAAACACCCCTGGGTGCCCAACTGTTTCCATCAACTCAACAACAGTTAATCACTATTTATTTTATCAATTATTTATTTTTTACTGTATTATTATTATTTAAAACATTTACACGATTTACTTTTATTAGTTATTTATAAATAAAATAATTAAAATTAATTTATTGTTTATTAAACTTAAGTTGTACTTTAAACTAATACATTTTAATATTTATATCTAATACTGTATATATAATATAATAGATCTAAACATTGACAACATTAAACAGTAGTTAATATAATATACAATAAAATACAATTTAATTTAAAAATTAAACGTTTATTTCAATATAGAAATTAAAAGTTAAAATTCACTTATTTGTCATTTGATTTTGATAAACAAAAAAAATTAATTAAGATATTTATTGATGACTTGTTGTCCAAATTGCAATTTAATTGAATCAATTTCTTGACTGATCCACGGGTGACGACTTAAGTCTCTAATAGTGATGCGTTTGTCCGGATTGAATGTAAATAGACGTCTAATAATGTCTTCAAACTCTGGGGATGCCTTCATGTATCGATTGAATGGTTGGGACGGGTTTTTGTCAAACGACTGCATCTTTTTTATCATTTCTGTGAAACACTGTTTTTCTTGTTTTGGTTTATCGAGTCTACCGCCGGCCCCGGGCTTACAGTTCTCACCGCCAAAAGGATAATATCTATTAATTATTATAAAAAGTATGATTCCCAGAGCCCAGACATCTGTAATGAACGGATTGTATTGTGTGTTTCGTTTCAATTTGAGATTTAATATTTCTGGTGCCATATATGGTACGGTTCCCATAAATTTTGTAGACATTATAACACCGCCTTTCTTCTCGCGAAAGTTGACACGACTCAGACCGAAGTCGGATACCAATACATTCATGTCTTTGTCTAACAATATGTTACCCATTTTGAGGTCACTGTGCGCTATACCGAAGCTATGCATATGACTGACCGCCGAAACGATCTGTGCAAACATGCGCTTAGCTCTGATCTCATCCATACCTGTGGTGAGTTGTCGCACGTATTCAGACAGCGATTTGTTTTCGGCTAATCTCATCATTATATAGACTTTAGTGATGTTTTCAATGGTGTATCGGACGATAAAATGCGAGTAAATCTGAATAATATACGGATGCGATGTCTTCTGCATAACAAACAACTCATTTTTGGCGTCCGCTTTAAGGCTCTTATAGTATTTACCGCTTATGTCCATCACTTTAATGGCGACAAATGAGTTGTCGATTTTTCTACGGCCTTTATAGACAACACCTACGCCACCCCTTCCTAATTCCTCATTTAAAAGTTGAAATCCATGATAATCGATGATATTGTCCACTGTCTTGTACTTATTGTCGGGCAAGTCATACATAATGGTGAGATCAAGGGTCGGCAAATTTGATGGACTGGAAGCCGCCTGAAGAGCCTGTTGTCTGTCAAATGAAACTGTTGTCCGATTAGAGAAACCCGAGACTCGAGTTCGACCCAATTCTGTGTAGTTTTTATGTCTTCGCTTATGTCCTAACTTTTCATCACTACTACAACAACTAAAACAACACAAGAATCGACACAAACAACACATCATTCAAATCATTAATCAAATCACAAATACGTTATTATTATTATTGATTTGAAAAGTCAAACAAATAAAAAATTGATTTAATTTTTGTTTTATCTTCATATTTGTCACTATTTTTGATATCTCGTGTTTTTATTTTATTTATGACAATTGAAAAATTCAATTATACTCTATAACTAGTAATAAATCATTTTATGTAAAAACAATAAAAATTCAAAATTTCCAAAATCAACAAATTATACGTTATTTTAGTACAAATAAAATTAAAATTAATTCAAATTACGTTATGATAAGTGATATTGTAGTGCATATTATTTAATTATTTTTTATTTTTTAAACCAATTTTGTTGGTCTAAATCAAACCGTTTTTGTTAATATTTATCAGATTTTCTTAGTTTCAGTAGTAATGCATTTAATAATATTATTATTACTTTTTGTGGCCATAATTATTGATGAAGTCTTGACTGATTTCAGTCAACAAACTAATACAACGAAGACTTCGCCACAAAAAAAGACAAACTATTTATGGGTTTATATTATTTTAATCGCTGTTTTCATTGTCGTCGCTGTCATTATTTGTGTCATCGGTTACATAATATTTAGTCGCAGAAGACGTAAAAGTCAGATGAAAACACAAAGTACTAAGTTATCGGTGATGACCAACAAAAAAGACAAACCGATGGACGACAAGACAAAACCAACTGAAAAACGAAAATCAACGACAAATAAGAGTCAGACAAAAGACGAATATAAAGTTAAGTCCAAAGAAGAAAACAAAGACATCAATGAGTCTTCAGAAGAGGTAGTCTTAAGTGAAGACATTAACAGTAATAACAATACGAGTGATTCATCTCAAGTCAAAAGAGTTGGAACTCAAGTGTTTAAAGTGTCTAAAAGGCTAACACTTGAACCACAAGAGAAACCACCGAACGATAAACTCTTCTAAATATTATTTTCACTATTAGTTTGATATTTGTTTATCTCATTCTTATATAATATTAATTAATATTATTTATAAATTATAATCAAATAGTCTATACTTTTTGTATACAATTTGTTTGTTTGTTTAAAAGCAATCAAACAAAACATTTATAAAATATATTTCAAATATAATATCAAATCAATTGATTTGATCGATAAATCAATGAAAAATAATATATTTTCATTATATCATTGATTATATATATCAAACAAATTGAATGATTTCACATTTAATGTTACAAAATATATTAATATTTTATTATAAAAAAAACTTAATTATTTTAGATAAATGTAAAGTAAGTCTCTGTTATAACTGTTATAAAATATAAAATTTTACTTAAAAATTGAAATTTATTATTGTCTGCAATCAATATATAATTTATTTATTATTATAAATGATATCTAAGTTTAAATATATTGTGACAAACATTAAATAATTGAAAGTTAAATACATATTGTATTACATCGTATACTTTAAAAAGCAATCTAAACCCCAAACTCTATTTAAAACCGAAACCGTTTTAAAACCAAAGTACCGAAAGTTATCCGAAACCCAACCGTTACTAAAACAACGAAAACGCACTAAAATTTTTCGGTTTGGTTTCCGGTTTCAGTCGGTTTTAAGAATCAAAACCGTTTGCGACCTCTACTGTGTATAACATGGATGAACACAATAATACTATTTAGAGATAATATTCAATATTAACAGTCATTTTCTATTCAATGACTAGAGTTTAATCAAATCTTAAATTTAATTCATTGCATAAGTAATACATATAAGACATGACATTATTTCTAACATTTGATTGGTTTAGTGATTAGTATTATATTGTATGACATTTAATGGTTTATTAGACACTAAACCAATCAAATGTTAAACTAATGTCACATAATATATGAATGACTTTTGTATCTATAGGTCAATTGGTTGACACACTGTTTGGTCTATTAGTTAGTGATTGGATTGTATTGAAAGCACTGTTAGTATCAATCAATTGATTAACTTATTTACCATCACTTATATGACAGACAGCATACCATCGATGGATAATTATAGCGATAGTGATTGCGAAGACACTGCCGTCGATGACATCGAACAATCACTGACCGAATGGTCACCCGAGAAGACAAATGAGTCGACAATAGTGATTGTGACGTTCAATGTGGTGGTCAAAGATATTAATGACAAGTACTACCCGAACGAAATAGGAATGACCAGAATGTCGATCACCGACGGTGTCCAACACGGCTACAGCAAACTCATACAAAATACTCATCCGCAAGGTTTCTATGGAACGGCCGACAAGTTCAGCAAAGATACCCATAAGATACCCATCAATACGATAGATGTCCCGGAATTTTGTGGTGATTATCATCAACTGTTTAATGAGATTTACCTATTTATGGACGCATCGAGTTTTAAGGACAGAAAAGGCCGCAAAATTGTTTTCTGTAAAACTATCGACAGTCGATCCAATGTTGAAGACATGCCTCAAGTGATTGGTTCACTTGAATGGATGGACAATAAGGTAAACGCCGGTCAAAAGCCAGGCGCCCGTAGTCTATGCCGTGATTTTGTAGTCATCGATATCGTGGAACTATTGTTTTTGATGACCAAAACATGTTGTCGACAAAATCGCGCAAAAGCTTTACTCATTGATGACCTGAATAGTTGCCGATATGACTATAAGGCTAACATGAGGTGTGAATTTCACGACGAAACTGAAAACAATTATTGCGCCCTTTTTGCCACAAAACGGACGGCATATCTGCTTATCGATGCCATACTATCAATAGGATTCAAAACCGAGTACGAAGTGAAACCAAAGGACACTCATATACCGAAAAACATTTTGATTGAGTCCGAGTCGTCCATCTTTAAGGGTTCGGAGATACCACGTGTGCCGTTAAATAGTTATAAACTATTTCCACATAATACTCGGTCACCGTATGCTAATGTGGTCAACAATCAGGTGACTACAAACAAACAAAGTCCGACTCCTGGATCTGGTATGGGAAGGGGTAGGTCTACCAATTGGTCCAAAAATAGTGGCAATCGTTATAATTGATTTTTTGAAATTTGTTTGCCTTTCCATTATCTATATATTTCATAACTTTTATATTACCGTAAATATATGATTTAAATTTGATAAACTTATTATTTAATAGTATTTTTACATTACCGGTATATTACATAAATTAGTGTATTTTATTGATATAAATCAATAACTGATAAATTATATCATTAAATATTTTAGACATTTGATTATAATTTTTTTTTGTATTAAATATCTTATTTATAGATTGTTTAAAGAAAGTTATATACTTTCTTTGTTTTTTAACTACAAATAAAATCATTAAAATTTTTAATTTCCAACATTTTTTATATAAAATATGTTAATTAAATTAATTGTATAATAAAGACTAAATATTAGCATGTTGAAATTTGACACTTAAAAATATAAACAAAATTTAAAGTAAACAAGTTTCATATTTAAATTATTGACAAATAGTAAGTACAACGCATAATATGTATTATTTTTTATATAATATTTTAATATTTAATGTAAAGTATAGAAACTTTTTGGTTGATCGACATTATACTATATAAATCAGTTTAACCGTTAGTATAAATCATAGTTAAGTCATATTGTTTATACTAGTTATTAATATACGGTTCAGCAATAGATTATATTGTTATATTAGTGCAATACATACAGTTTAGATACATTTAGTCTATTAGTAAACAGTATTAACAGTCAAATAAATTAATATTAGATTCACTTAAATGTTAGTTTTATTTAGGGTTAGGTTTATATTAGATTTAAGTATTATATTAGATTAGTTTATTGATAATAATGTATCAATAATAATAAAAATGAAAAATTGTAATGTTGACATATACGGCTATTGTTATATATGGGTATAATTAAATAACCCAAAGTTTTAATGTTTTAATATAGTAATATTAGTTTCAACCAATAGGTGTCAGTTATTTCAACTAATTATTTAGTCGAAAGTTTATTAAACAAAATGATAGTTAAAAAAACATAAATCATAGGAATTTAAAGTTAATTATTAAAACAACAAATTGCATATAATATTTACATATATTAATAAATACTGATGAGTAATAACATAAAAAATAATAATAATTTTAAAAGAAATCATTGTTGTTGTTGGTGTTGTTGTTGGACCCGTTTATTCCAGGCTTCGTTGGGGTCGACCTCTCTTTTACCGACAGTTGAATTAATTTCCGCCTCATTGGTGAATGAGCTATAGTTTTGTCCATTACTTGCACGCGTAGGTGTTGTTGTTGTTTGGCTTAATTTGTTGCGACCCTCGTATCTCTCAAATTTGACAATTTTAATAATACCTAAACCAATGGTCAATACAGCCAATGACAAGAATACTGAGCCCAACACTACTGAAGTCATAAGACTCATATAAGTTAGTATAGAACTGGTTAGCCATATGAGACCGCCCGCTATGATATGCCAGCCCCGCAATGATGGGGCCATTGATTTACATATATAAAAAAATTGTTAATTCAAACAAAAACAAAAAATTATATATTTATTGAATACACATATATATCATATATGATATAAAAAATATGGAGTCACTACTGATTAAGCATTAATTAATATAACGCCTTATATATTATATTATGATTTCTGATACAAATTTGCAATTTTTTCTATGATTCAAACATTTATAATGTATTTGTATTTGAGATAAACATTTTTAATTCATTTACTTTAATATTATAATAAACACATTATTTAAGTGTTRACTTGTTTAGTGTTACCATCGTTTTTAGTGATAACCATATTTATGATGAGTTGCATAATGTATACAAAAGTTGCCGTCTCTGATGACGCTTGACTACAGGTGCGCAATACTGAAAGAGTTAGTATAATACAGACAATACTAAATTATAATGTTATACAATTAACAATATAGTAATTACTTTATATTTTAACAAATGTACTAGATTGAAAATAAATCTGTAATTTATCTAAAGTATTGATGTTATTTGAATTTTAACTAAAATTACCTTGGTTATACAGTATTGACAAATTAAATAAACAAACATAAGATATTTTATTTATAAATAAAAATTCATACAATATATAACATTGGTTTATAGACATTATTAAATATCAAAATTTTCTTATTGAATAACATGTAATATTATTGAAATTAAATACATAATTAAAAATTAGAAACTATTCTAAACACAACTTAAAAAGTTTCAAATTATAAAAATTAGTATATAATATACAGTATATTAAAATAATATTTTTTGGATAATTAAATAAAATATAAAAATAGTTTTAAATAATTTGTTAACGATTTGCTATAAGTAATGTTTGTTGTGTCAAAATAGTGTCAAATTCAATATTGTTTGACCTCTCAATTGTTATACATATTGTCTCGTATTTCAATCTAATGGCACCAAACATGAGAGCAGAGACAGCGATGCCGACAAAAAATGCGCCCAAAATATAGTGACCAAAAGTAAACCATAATATACTGCATATTAGCCAAAATAATGCAAATAAAATTATTTTAAACCCAATTATTAACATTATTAATTTGTTTTATAAAAATTATGAAATAAAATAAACAAAATATGTACAGTATGTTATATAATATATCTAATAACATATAACTAATACTGTATAATAATTTTTATATAATAATAAATATATTAATAATTAGATTATTATTTTAACAATTCATAGTTAACTAAAATAGATTTTTAGTAATTTTGATAAAAAAACAATAATGATTGTAAAGATTGTACTTAATTAGTATAAAATTTACTAATATAAAAAATTTTAACATTAATTGACATTTTAATAATAACAAAATATTCAATGTTTATTTGACAGTTAATAAATAATAAGAAAATTAAATATTAATTTAAAAAAAACATTTTTATAACGAAAACGATATTTTTAAGGCACGTTAACAGTGGATACATGTTGTTGTTGTGTAATAGTTGTGGTGGTAGTGTTGGACATATGAGGATAGGTTGGTATCCTTTCCAAGTAATACCACTTATAGACTGCTAAGGCCAACACAATGAGTCCCAGCAATAGAAATATAATACCGGCGGCATTGGATGCAATGAAACACAGACCACTGACCACTATTATTACTAGTGCTGCCAAACCCAGATGCCAGGCCCTCACCTGTTCGTACCACATGTTTCTGATGGTATCCATCAGGTAATCACTATTAATATCACGATATTATATATATATGATATATACACAAAAAATAAATGATACAATAGTTTTTGGTGTCTACTAACTAAATAAATTGTATGACTAATAATTTAAATTTGAGAAACAATTATTATTTTTTTAGTAAATAAAGTACTGAATGAATGATTAATTAATTGTTTAGTTATTAAAAAATCACTTAACAAGGGATGTCTTGGAAACGCCTGAATATGTGGTGATTAGATATAACTACTAATAACATAACATTAACTGTAATGTCATCCTATGGTTATATTATATAAGTTAATATTGCACTTTGTTTTGTAATTTATATTTGACAAAACACAATATAAAAATTAATTTAATTGTTAAATTATTTCTACTTTATTATTATCCATTAGAATTTTTAGTAAAGTAAAAATACTAATAAAATATCACACCATTTTTTATATATAATTTGCAATAATAGATAATAATAATAGTTTACAGATGTTTATAAATATTAAAAAATAAACATCTTATAAAATAGCATTTAGTTTAAATATTAATTAAAAAAAATATATTCATTTAAGACATTATTTTATAGTTTTAAATACAAAATAAAATATTGAATGTAATGACTATTGAAGTTATGTATGATAATAAAATTTTCAAGAGTCAATGAATCATTATGATTATGATAAACAGGTATAAAAAACATTTACGTCTAATAGATTATTAACATATAAAAATATTTTATACATTTTGGTATATACACAGTATAATTAATTTATTATCTGATTATTAAACAACTTTTTTCTGATAATTTTTTTAGTCAAACTACAATCAATATTTATTATATAATTAATTGTTTTCAACAAATAATATATTTAACAATATATTTAATGCATCATAATTATAAATAATTAACTTTTAATTAACAATTAGCAATTTACTAGTAGTAATTACGTGTAAAATAGATACTATAGTATAAGTACAGTACTATTAAGCTAAATACTGTATGTTTAGATGTTTAGTAACTATTTGAACACATTTAGTAACTATTAATATAAATCATTGTGTATTAATAWATATGTCATATCATCAATAAGTATAATTGTTAAATAAGTATTTCAATATATCATATAAAATAATTATTTAATAAACACATTAATACATAAACATATGAAAAAATTGTGTCTTTATGAAGCATTAATAACAAATCATAGCGGATATAAAGTTCAAGTATTATATAATTTTTTATATGTGTAAACAGGAAATTAATACAACAATTTTTATATAGTTTAAAAAGCATTAGTTATAAAACAACGTTATGCTACAAAAAATAATAATTTTTATCTATTTGTTCATAAAATATACACAAAAATGTCGATCAAGTGATGGTTGTAATGGATATTCTGACGGTTGACCGGAATTATCAAATAAAATGATGTGTTATTAAAGTCTTTCATATTTCCAATACTTGATAAATGCGAAGATAGCGATGGCTATAGAAATCAATAGGAAGACAATGCCGGCTGCCGTTGCTTTCGTTACAAATAAAATAATTGTAATTAATAACAGTATGATAGCGACAACACCAATATGCCAGGCCCTCACTTTGTCAAACATTTTTATTAATACTGACACTGATAACCAATTTTAAATATTTAGTAAAATTTAATCAACAAATTATTTAGTTATGTTAGATATTTTCAAAATCAAATATATAGAGTATGTGGCAAATAATATAAATATTAATGTCTGACTTTATTATAATTTATATAAATAAAACTAATTGCATTGAAATCTATAGCAACGATTGAAATATTAAAAGTAATTAATAGTGTGAAAAATGTTGATATTATTAAACGCAACACTTGACTATTATCTACTCTATAATAGTAATACTGTAATAATAATAATAATAATAATAGTATTTATAATAACAGCCATCGGTTGACTTCTCARATATATTG